CCTTTGGGAAGAATCAGTTGATGACCGATCTGTTTATCTTAGAAGACTCGTTAATAAAGAGTTTTGTCCACTTTTAGTTTTCCATTTTTCTCTCTCAAATTAGTTTGGCTACGTTAGTCAATAACTACTTAAAATTCTAAAATCATCTACTCATTCTTTGTTGAAAATAAGTTATAAGATATTGTATTCTGAATATATTCAACTATNTACGTTAGTCAATAACTACTTAAAATTCTAAAATCATCTACTCATTCTTTGTTGAAAATAAGTTATAAGATATTGTATTCTGAATATATTCAACTATCGTATAAACTCAGTAGTGCTCGGTCATAAACCAGGTTCTTTGTATCAGCAGTGCTCGGTCTTAAACCAAGCGTTCGGTCTCATCCTAGTAACCTCTTATCAATTGTTTGGAATAAGAGTGTTCGGCCAAACCGGATAGTGTTCGGTCTCTACAGTGCTCGGTCTTAGACTAGCACTCAACCTCTTTAATGTTAGTATCATATTAAAAGCTAAGTATAAATAACGTTCAGTTTCTTCATCGTACCCCGTCTGTCACTAGTATTTGGTGTCAAACAGTATTGGTCTCTAAATGGTGTTCGGCCTAGAGTATTAGTACTCGGCCTAGGCTTCGTAGCGTTCGATTTAAACTCTCAGGGGCCAGTTCAATGAAATGGCTCACCTATTAAATATCGTTCAGTTCGGTTAATTACTATGGAATGTTATTCCTTTCGGTTTCTTTCATAACTCTGATAATAACTCCTTTGGTTCTGATTTGTTTGTGAGCTGAAGACCTCTCGGTCTCAATCCTAGTGTTCGGTTTCGTCTCTATGTGGAAGGTTATTTTTCAGTATTTGGTGACATATAGGATCTTTGTTCCAATGGGTTCTGTTTGATGTTTTGATAATTAAATATGATGGAATGTGATATGGATAAAATGAGTATGGTTATGTAAAAGTATTCCAGGGAGGAATATCTCATGAATTGGTATTTGAATGGTAAAGTATGAATGTAGACAAGGCTTAGCTGGCGTTTATCCTGATATTTTGTGATTACTCATTCTCAAGTAGAGAGGAGTAAGTCATGTGTGAGAATGGTAGGAGGTCATAGTCCATAAGGTTAAATTGGACGGAACGGACTAACCTCGGGTGGCAGCTGTTGAGGGTATCCCAGTTACTACATCACCTGGGTGCACAAACGTCGTAGCTACACAGAATTCATACAGTCCGGACGATTAGAGTCAAATGTTGGTTTATTGCATGTAATAAGGAATGATTGATTTGGTGAAATTGATTGGTATAGAACTTATGTGATCTGAATATGTATGATTCTTGAAATAAATTACATAAGCTTACCCTTTTTCCGTCTTGTCTATTTCGTTTTTTTGTCTTACTTTGTTCCTGTTGCAATGATCATCCGTGTGGATGTGAGTAGAAGGAGGAGTGTTGCTGTAAGAATCATCGTTAGAAGTAGAAGTTAAGACTGAACTTTATATCGTTCCCTCATCTGTTTACTGAATCTTGTATATGACCGATCGGTATAAGAGAACCGTTCGGTTATTACTGTAGCTTCTATTTTATTTGTATTGTATAACCTTTCGGTGACTATGTAAGTTCGTTCGGCAATAATCGTACCTCTTTTATATGTGAAATTGATCTGTAATATTATGAATGTGATTATTCTATTATATGGTTTTGTACTGTATTTTTGGGATGTCACAAAATTTACTTTTTTACTCTTTTGAATTTGAAATCTTATAATTGTTCCATTTATTTATTATTCACAGAATTCGAATATTTCATGTATTTTCTTCAGTATTAATTACATTTTCTATGTTCAATTAATTTTCATAATGAAATAGTTTTTAAATTATATATATATATATATATATATATATATATATATATATATGATTATCTCTACTAATTTTTTTTTTACTTTTATTTATTATTTTTTTTCACACGAGGATATATGTTTATCTGAATTTCAAATTCTCAATCTTCAACCCTTCGTTTACCATATAATATAAAAAATTATTTACTTTACTTTTTTTATTCAACTTTTTTTATTTAAAAAACTTTTGTTTCATTCAAACAATTTTAATTATCTTATCAGTTTAACGAGTTTGATATTTGAAAATGATTTTGAAATTTTTAAGATTCATTATATTTTATTATATCTTTAAATAATTTATAAGATGCATATATAATATTTTTACTTCTTTTTAATATTCTTATTTATTTTGTTTTCTTTTAAATATTGTTTTAATTGTTTTTAATATAAATATAATTTTACCACCGCAATATAACAACATAATTCTTATTTGGCACCTTGATTTAAACTTTAAACAATTATAATTTTTTTCTAAATTTTGACATTAAATATATTATTTTAATATAAAATATTTGATAATATTATATTTTTATAATTTTTATAAAATTAATTAATATTGAAATAGTAAATCATATACATAAATTTGGATGTATCTATTATATCGAGAACAACTAGTGCAGAAAAAGCTTTAGATGCATGTTATTTTGGGCTTTTAACGTCATATCTCGATCCGACGTCTTTATGAGTGACGTTAATGGGATATCGGACTCCACAAGTCCAATGTCTTTATAAACGTCGGACATGAATTAACTGACGTCTGAGGACACTATAGACGTCGGACACTGGCATTAACCGACGTCTACTGCAGCTCGTGTCTTTGGATAGCGTAGTAGCACCTTCTTCCTTTGCTAGTTTTTCCATAGAAAAGGTTGTGTCTTTTGGACATCTTATGCCATTTCAACCGAAAACCGGATCTGGGTCCTTGCCTAGTTCCATTCCAACCGGCAATGAAAACAAATACGGTGACATGAGAGCTAGGCAAAGACCCAGGTTCGATTTTGGTTCGATTTTGGGTTGAAACGTTATAAGGCATCCAAAAGACGCAAACTTTTCTTACGAGGAAACTAGCAAAGGGAGAATGTATTACTACGCTACCCAAAGACACGAGAAAAACTGTATCAAAACACAATGAAAACTCATTTTAATCGGTTCAAATGGAAGATAATCCATCAAAGACTAATTTAATTGGAATAAAAGTAAGTTTAAATGGTTCAAAAGAGACAAAAACGCACCTGGAAATGCAATGTCAAAGAGAGAAAAGGCGAGAAGGAAGACGATGAAGTGCGTGTAACCGCAAGTTCGATTTCTGATTTAACAACAAACAAGACATCGGACACAGAGGGCACCGACGTCCATTCTCGCCTAGACGTCGGAACCCTAACTAATATGACGTCCAAAACAACTTTTCACCTACCTTGTCAGGCCATTTAGACGTCGGATGGCAGGATCAAACGTCTATATGGCGTAAAAAAAGTACTTTTCATCTATTAGGAGGTTCACCGACGTCTATAATCGTATATAGACATCGGGATGGCTGGATCGGATGTCTATATGGCAAAAAAAAAGAACTTTTCATCTACCTATCAGACACATCGACGTCGATTAGGAGGGGCACCGACGTCTATATATAGACATCGGGGCCCCTCCTAACCGACGTCTATGTGTCCAACTTATTTACGAACATGCCACCTGTCAATAGTTTACATTAGTTATTTTGTGGTCCGACGTCTACTAGGTGATGTTAAAGGTCAATTCTGCACTAATAAATAATGATGAAATATAATTTTTGTTAGAATACAAAATCCAACATTAAATAAAAGAAGAGATAAATATAAATTTATGTGCAGATAACTTACATTTTTATTATAACATACATTTATTGATAAAGAGTTTTTAGAACGATACTAAAAACAATTCATAAGAATTTGACTAAAAAATTATAGATGTATAAAACAATGTTTAACCATATAAATAAAATTATTAAACTTAATATAGTTGAATAAAGAGAATACAATGTTAATTATTAAACTTACATATTTGTCATTAAATAGGGCTGATGCATAGTGTTGAACTGCATTTATAAGTCCCATACCGCCTGGATCATAGAAGAGTCCCTCTTAAGCTTATTATAAAAAGAATTTTCCTTCTATTTAATTCTCATATGTGGGTCAATGGCCCACACGATATTAAATTAATTTTTTAAGGTAGAGATTTTGATACAGCTTGGCACACCCTACTAATGAGTTTTTAATTTGAATTAAAAGAATAATAACTAGACATAAATTTATAATTACTAGCATGTGTTAGACATTATAGGATGATTAAATTTATAATTACTAGTAAAAATGCATGTGTTACATCAAGTGACCTGAGTTCATTTTTTTGTGATAATAAAAGATAATAAAATTATCATTATTATTATTTTTTGTATAAAATTAAATATAAATCTTTTTTATGATTTTATTATAAATAGTTTTTATTTATATGTACTCAATCTATTAATTAAAATATAATTAAGTTTAAAAAATGATAAAATAGAAAAAAATTAAATTTAAAATAACAGTCAGGGAAAATTTAATAAAATAATTTGATTATTTTTATTTAATGTGTAAATAGCTGGGATTAAATATGTATTTTAGTATTTAATAATTTGTGTTTGATTATTAAAGAAAAAGTTAATATTAATATTTAATTAATTTTGTTTTTTTAATTCTTAAATTTGATTTTTTTTTTAAATATATATGACAACTATTAAAGACTAAATATATACTAAATCTACTAATTAATAAACTTCAAATAAAACTAAGGTAATTAAAGTTATTATATTAATACTGTATTTTCTTTTTATTGTATTAATAACAAAATATCTTAATAGTCATTGTATTAAACAAACAATTTACCAATAAACTTACATTTTTAACAAGGAAAATAATTTCTTTTATCATCGTACTATTAATTTTTTAAGAGATAATATTTTGGAGATAAAGAAACTTATGTTTTGTTTGTTTTTATAGGTGGATTTAAGAGTGACAAATTACTCTTTGAAGACGCCTTTCTTTCTTTTTTTCTTAATTACTCAAAGTTGAACGGTAGCAATCAAGAAACAATTGATGTAAAAACTAGATTGAAATTTGTTTAAGTTTTCACCTTAATTATTGAGATGAAGTTATGTTTAAAATTCACTTAGTAAACAGTGAAGTAATGATCTCTAATTTAAACTGAGGATGACTCCATCTTCTCCGTTGTTCCTCAAAACTCCCTATCTTAGCTGACTGTTCCTCATGGCCAAGCTTGTTTGCATACAATTTATAGTAAGCTTTGGCATCCACAGTCGTTAAAATTCTCACTAATTTTCCATCTTTTTCATCCACCACAACTTTTCCATCACTCCATTCATTACCATCAGCCAAGACTTTAATGAGCTTCTCCTCAAATTTTGGATCAAGACCTGAATAGCTATCACCCAAGACAACTGCGCCTAGAATTTCTCCCAAGAACGTGCCCTGCAAACACAAAGGACTTAAACAGTGGAAACAACAACTAATCCTATCTAATCTACTTTTTCTAATGCAATTTCTTAACGTTTTATCAATCGTTTGGTTCCTACATCGGCACCAACAATTTTCTTAATCCTTATACCTAAATCCTCAATATTTTAGTCTTATACTAATTTTTTTTTATGTTTAGTTCTTGTATTTCTATTTCGTAGCGGTCTTGCAATAAAAACAAGAATAACAAATATTCCTATAAGAACTAAACGGGAATCATCGTGTTTCTTAAGGGGCATTGTTAAAACGAATCTAAAGTTGATTATTCTCCTTTTTGTGTCACACATTTAGAGAGGTTAACCATAAATTCTGAGATTAAGATGTGAAAAGCTAGAAAGAAAAATCTGTGGGCTGAAAGTTATACCATATGCTGATACATGCTATGAGATTGCTTTAAATGGTATAGCCGTGACAGCAGACGTTCGGAAAACACAGCCTCTGGTGTTCTTCGTGTCCTACGCAACTCGCCGATAAAGGCTGAAAACGAACTTGATTTGCGCTGGGTATTGAGTGGAATGAGTGTGACATTAACTTCTGATTCAAACACTATCCTGGCTGCTAAAGGATCCAAGAACATGTTGAACTCAGCATATTGGTTGGAAGGAACTGAAAATATATTTCCTTTGTCTTTAACAGTGCTGCTAATGTGTCCACCAACGACATATACATCCTGCGACATTTTAGAATTGTTATTCCTTTTTATGATCTATCAGTACAATACAGATATCTTAATCATTCGAGGAAAACTGTTAAATGCAGAATCAAATGCTTCTCTTCGGCTAATATTATCAAAGAATAATGATATTTTGACAACATTTTAACATCATTTACGTGTCATTCTATAATTGGTTCAAAATTACTCCACAATCAATTATAATAATCACAAACACTAACATAGACCAATTACAAAATGACACGTAGATATTGTTAAAATGTTGTTAAAAAAATATTGTCAAAGTATCATGATTTATTACCAAAATGACTATAACTTTTTTATAATAGGACACGTGTCACTGTTTTATTGGTTTAGTTGAATTTATTTTCAAAAAAATATTTGAAACGGATACAGGTCACCACGCGAGGTTGTCAAAAATAGTTTGTTAAAAAACCTTTTTCCTTTTTTCTAGGGGTTACTCTCAAGGCACTTCCACAATAGGTAATTGTTCTTGCTGATATATGCAGCTATTTCAAATAGATGATAACTAATACATACTATAACTTGCCTGAATTCTTGAGCTTATGTTTTTCATCGATACAACCTTTGCCAGGTTAGTCAAGGGTCCATTAGTCAGCACTGTAATCTTAGACCCTGGATTAGTTTTTTGTAATATAGACTCCCAAACTTCCATGGCCAGTGGTTGTCTGAGTTCAGGGTGATCTGTATCCCGGGGAGCCCCAAACTTCACAGAATTCTCAGTTGTATACCTGAAATGGTTAGTGTGTTAGCCAGTTGCTCGAAACAAAAACTGGAAATACTTAAGTGCGAGCAAACTTATATATAACCTTGTTAAAAGGTATACAGGTTACAAAATGCACGACACACTTAACAAAGGTTACGCAACAATTGAATGAAATCTTATAATAACACTCTATTCAAGAAAAATAATTCTTTCATCATAGTGTGTTTGTTAGAGTTTTTGGTGACAAGAAACCAGATTATCCGCTGGATTGAATCAGTGTCCCAAATAACATGGTTCATTTCTGCATGACCCATATTTCGTTATTTCTCTACTTTCAATAGCAGCTTCCATTCCACTTGGCCTACATGATTTCACTAACTTCTGATGCATTCTAATGCTGATAAACAATACATTCAAAGCCATAAAAGTAATTGAAAATCACCTTCGTGGGCTGCGTGGCAGATCACGAGCAAGACCATAAAGAGTATCAGAGTCCAGTAATCCCCCATTTCCATGGGGAATGGCTTTTATATACTTGCATTCTCCAACAGCTTCAAATACTGGATCTGGTTGATCTATTGCAAAAACATCTCCAAGACCAACTGGGATATCGTCACGACCCATCATGTGCAGTAAGTCATAGATGGAATCTATTGTTGCTGCATTAGTCCATCCAGTAGGACTCACGATGATTGCCTGAGTGCAATTGTGTATAAATTTCAACATAATATTAAACTTCTTAAGAATTTAAGTGTAGATCAGATAAACAACTAACAATGAAAACATAAGGATACCTTAAGGTCGATTACTTGAACAGGCACTTTTAGGAGGTAAAATAGAGCAAGAAAATCTCCTGCACTCATGTCCATGTCAA